ATGGAAAAAAAAACTTAATTTCCTAGAATCTATCTGAAATCACGTACGCAAGTACAACTCACGACGAGAATGTCAATGGTGCAAAGCGGACTTCAATCCGACTATTAGTTTCGAAATTGAACGAGTGATATCAAATGAGACTAAAATTCCGAAATTGATGGGAAAAATTAGAAAAAACCTAATTTCGTAGTGTCTTTCTGAAATCACGGAAAATTTCTGAATGCAGGCACAATATTGTTTACGCGTGTATCCGAAACTAATAGTCGGATTGAAGTTTTTTTTGCTCCTTTGAATTTCTCGTCGAGAGCTGTACTCACAGAGGCGGTTTTAGATCGAAGCGACAGAATTATTTTTTGGCCAATTTTTTCACCAAATTTCTGAATTCGGGCACAATATTGTTTCACGCGCATTTCTGAAACTAATAGTCTTGTTTTCAAATTTGAATTTCACGTCGAGAGCTGTACTCACATATGTGTTTTCAGAAAGATGCGACGAAATTTTTTTTTTTCCAATTTTTTTCGCCAAATTTTTGATTTGGGCACAATTTTGTTTCACGCTTTTTTTTAAGTAATAGTCGGATTGAAGGCTAGGTGTCTACATTACATTTCCCGTCTAGTGATGTACTCACATATGTGATTTCAGAAAGATGCGACAAAATTAACATTTTTCCAATTTTTTCACAAAATTTCTGAATTTGGACACAATATTGTTTCAAGCGTATTTCTGAAATTAATATTCGGATTGAAAGTGTGGTTAGCTTTATTGAATTTTTCGTGTATACATGACGTTTGAGCGAAGCGACAAAATTTATTTTTTTTCAAAATTTTTTGCCAAATTTCGAATTTGTGCAGAATTTTTTCACGCATATTTCCTAAACAAATAGTCGGATTGAAGTCTGGTTTTCTCCCTTGATTTTCTCGTCTAGAGCACATACGTGTTTTCAGAAAGAAGCGACGATTTTTTTTTTTTCAATTTTTTCACCAATATCTGAATTCGGGCACAATTTTGTTTTACGCATATTTCCTAATCTAATAGTCGGATTGAAGTCTGGGTTATCCATTGAATCTCTCGTCTAGATCTGTATACACGTACGTGATTTCAGAAATTTGTCAATTTCTTGTAATATGTTCTACTTATATACGTGAATTCCGAAGAAAAAAATTACATGCAAGTTTTTTTCAAATTTGTCTCGCAAATTCCCAACTAAAGCACTGTTTGTTTCAAGTCCATCTCCGAATCTATCATTCGGATTGGAATTTGGTTAGATCAGTTTTATTTCTGAAAAAATTACAAACAAGCGACGAAGTTAAACTTTTAAATTTGGTACGTAATTCCCAGCTTAGGCACTGTTTTTTTCGCGTCTATCTCCAGACCAATTAGGCACGGATTCTGGTTTGCGCCTTTCAATTTCTCGTAATGTGTTTTGCCTATATACGTGATTTCTGAAAGAAGGGACGAAATTAATTTTTTTCAAAATTTGTAACTTAATTTTTCAATGTAAGCACCGTTTCGTAACGCGTCTTTGTCCGAAACTATTTGTCGCATTGGAGATTGGTTTGTTCCATTCATTTTCTCGTAATGGGTACTACCTGAAAAGGCGAATACAGAAAGAAGAGACAAAATTAATACTTTCCTAAATTTGTCACGTATAATCTGTAATAAATATAACTAACCTATAATCAACCTATAATAAATATAATTATTAATACATGTAATACTATTATTTCTCTAACCGTGGTGAAAACATTGCCTCACATATGTTCTCATTGTCGAAAATAATTAAAAATTAAATAACTTTTAAAAAATAGTGTAGAGTACATGGTTTTTTGGTGTTCGCGATTAACTTTTCAATGCGGAAACAATGCCATTACCAGAATGCTTGATATACGTTATTCCTGGGTAATTGCAATGGGGGAAATAGAACTGGGTAAGACGCTCCTAGAAGGGTAGATGGGAATGGAGTGACATTTACTAACTATTTATCAGAAGGAGAAGATGCTTCTCCAGTTGGAGTAACAAGGGTAGGTAGTTTGGTAGGTTTGTGCAAAAGACGAGTGTTATTCCGCAGTGTATGATCAGATGGGTTACGTTTGTGTTTGAAGAAGAATCTTTTGCGCGT